TGCTTTGCCTTTGTTCCCTGCGAACATAAAACAGTTAAGTTATGTGTTATTATACTTGGTGTCGAATAGTTCGGAGTTGCGATCGATGTTTTATTACTGATTGTATTTTATGAGTCACGTTGGTACTACACATAAATGCTGCTAGTGACAGGACACTAGTTTGTTATTTGCACTTACTTTGTTTTGATGGATGATTCATTTTTTTCCTTTTTAATATTTTATTATACAAAAATTAAGTTCTTACAAGTAATCGTTTTATGGACACCATGTATATGACACCAAATATTTTTTTTAAAACATAACATTATATGTCCTTTTTAATAATAAGACAATTGATGGCAATTGATAACTTTCACTGATAAAAAATTCAAAGAAGAATCTTTCGAAATTCAAAGAAGAAAAACAAAACAAAGCTATGCTCTACAATTATATTTTAATAACAGAGCTTTTATCGTCACGCAAATATCTCGTAATGTTTAGTAACAAATTGTTTAACCTCAACACGTGCTATCGGCTTATACCTCTAATGCCGCTAATCCAACCCGGAAAAAACTAATAAGCATTGTATTCCAATTGTTTGCATCGAGTTTAACGCTTGTTTGAGCGAATTATCGTTCGTGAGCACAGGGTGTTGCCGTTTTAATAACGTAATCAGATTTCCGCGCCTCATTCCGTCGCCAGCGGTCCGATCGGATTCATCACAATCGGGTGCTCGCAACAGTAATGGACCGTACGCGGACTACATAAGATTCGTTTGAACGGGATAATTGATTTAGAGTATCCTAAAGTGGGGTTCACGAGGTGACGTCTCGATAATATTCCACACCAAGGGTGGTCGTCTCTACACGTACCTAGACAAAACCTCCCCGCAGCTGCACACGACTGGTGAGTGAAACAAAAGATAAGCTCAGCAATTTGTCCGGGCCGTGCTCTCCCAGTTTTGAACCCGCACCCTCGGCTAGAATTACGTCACTTCCCCCCTTTCCATTCACTTCCTCCACTTTATATTTTAAAACGTAAATTATTTGCTTGCGCTGACAATTCGCTTACTGCGATAATATCTGAATAGATTTCCAGATATAGTAGGACAAAAGATTTTTCTCTTTCAATATTGTTTTGTTCTTTTAAATATGACGAACGTTTTTGTATGTGTCAATTCATTTTGTAGTATAAAAAGTCAAAAATTATTATATAAACTGTCCGTGGAATTTCAATAATCTTAAGATGACTGCTTTTGGAGTTGCACGAAACAGTCTGCATGCATGATGAATTCTCATTATTTTTTTTTAATTTTAACTTGTATTTTAAAGCACTGTTTTTGGCTTTGTAATTCCAAATACGGACATGAATTAATGGGGAATTAAATCGACCTTCATATCCATAACTGTGCACATCTTGTATTTTCCATAAAAATATTGTACACGTACAAAATGTAAATATTTTTTATTCGTTATTTTTTTTATCATAAGGTGGCAAACGAGCGAGCGGCTACCTGAAATCGCTGAAATAGCGAATTGACCGTTGCCCATAGACATACGCAATTGCATATGCGTTGCCTACCTTTAATCGACGGAGGAAAGGATGCACAGACAGAAAATATTTTCTCTTTTCAAGCATCCTCTCGCCCGGAAAGTCCACTTCCACTTCCTATTCTTTCCTTCTAAGAAAAAGGGTGGGAAGGAAAAGAGGACTAAATTAGGCCTCCGGGACGCAATCATAAAAGTGTGGTGTTAGTTTAGTGTCGATAATTTATGTGTCCGTATGATTAAACTCAGCAGATTCTATGTTCCATTTTTAACGAAGATAAAATATGCATCTAACAACACACAAGGATGTCAGATTGTCTCCTATTTAAACGACTACGGAACGTTATTGTAATCTTATTACGGCATGCATTGTATCGAATTAGGTTATGCGAGGTCGAGTGAGTTTATCTATGATACTGCAACATGCATGCAACATATCCAGCAATTTTCAAGTTGAACTCGACCGCAAAACAGATATTGTGAACATTTTTCTTATATAAGTAACAAGAAAGGAAATTGTAATGTTATATTTTCTAAAGAACATTTAATAAATCCTTTTTAAACTACTAGTGGTGAGAAAATGCAGCTAAAAAGTTCAAGAATTTAGGGTCAAAAAAATTTGTATTTTGTATCTGTAATTTTTAATAATACATTACAATATTGAAAGTAAATTAGATCTATTATATAAAGTGATGTTAATATCTAAAATTTTATTTAAAAATGATTACATAATTTCACCTTTATCCGAACACTGTTAATATTATAATCATTCAACAATTAAAAATTCAAGAGTACCGTTGAAAATGTGCAATACCCCTGGAACCAGAATACGCGGCGCGGTTGATTACATTTAAATAATAAATGCAGTATCCACAAGATACCTGTGTTTGCGGAGTATCGTTGACTGTTTACATACAGTGATAACAAAAAATCTAAGCGATATAACAAAGCCTGAGCAAATGTGATTGTATCATGACTTAGTGTAAGATAATTGTTTGCGTTAGATTTAAGGTACATTATTCCTAGTTGCTATGAACATGTGATAAACTACAAAAACTTTAATAAATCAATTCTTATGTAAGATTATGTAGATATAAGTATTCGGCTGCGGTGTTGAACAAATTTTTTTCCTAGAGACCTTTTGGATTTCTTCCACATTGGTAGAGCCCGCTTTAACATCTCGTACTAATTGGCCCGGCTCGCCCGGTGAAATACCACGACCATGCAGAAGACAGGCGTCAAGTGGAAGCAATTCCGCGTTTCGTCTGATGAGTGTGCGTTCCTGGGGCCTAATTTAGTCCTCTTTCCCTTCCCACCCTTTTTCTTATAAGGAAAAGATGGGAAGTGGAAGTGGACTTTCCGGATGAGAGGATGCATGGAAAGGGAATATATTTTATTTCTGTGCGTCCTCTCCTCCGTCGATTAAAGGTAGGCAACGCATATGCAATTGCGTATGACTATGGGCAACGGTCACTTCGCTATTTCAGCAATTTCAGATGGCTGCTCGCTCGTTTGCCACCTTGTGATATAAAAAAAAACATAAAAGCTTGTTATGACTAGTTACGATAACTCAATGATCTTTGTAAAGTTTTGGCATCGTTTTACAGTAGTTTCGTATTTCGTCAGTGGAAACGTTACAAGATCTGTATCGTAACAATAACAATTGCTAATACTCTGTTTACTACCGAGATGTTTTGACTGGTCCAATGGATTCTGTAAAGTGATATCTTTGTTATGATCAAGCTTTGTTAGCCTTTCGTGTCAGATATTAATGAATGAAACAATTACAATTGAAATTAAATCTTTATTTGTATAGTACTAAAGACATTTAAGCACTGTGCTTCTGAGTAAACAAACACAGAAGTACAGACACTGGAACGGATATACGTACCAGCAAGAAAATTACTATCAGTCGAGAAATAAAGTAAATATCCATCAACGGTGTGTCGGCACGGTATGTTACTACTCCTCCATAAATATAAATTCATCCCCTTTTTACGCATATCCATTTATACTTTCTTTGAACTTCCTCTACCATTGTAACCATCACATTCAACTTCATTACTTTTTTGTTAATATGATCCACTAGCGTAACATGTCGAAGCCACGCTAACCTTCTGCTACTCAATTTCTCGATCAATGGCTACTTGCAAATTTCCTGTAATAAAAAATTAGACAGTAAAATAAAGTAACCGCTTCACATAAATTTTAAATATCGTTTTTTTTAAGTTCTGTATAAAAATTAAATTCCGTCGCGTGTATGTACACAAATTGAATAAGCTTGCCAAAATGAAAACCGGGTCGCGTTCACTGATTCAATTGAATTATGAGAATTTCCTTTCATATCTCCCATTCGATGTTTCATATGACTTTATGTTGTGTAATTTATTTATTTACCAGGAAACAATATGTGAATTTAACCAATATTATTACTAATATAATTTGGCGTTTGTAGTTAATTTTTTCGGTTGTTTTACGACTACCACATTCACTGTGGTTTTCATATTTAGTAAATATCAAAAAAATATTACTAACATATTATTGTATGTTCGGAGAAACCATTTATTTACTACTCCATTCGCGCGGAATTAAAAAAAACAAAATTGCTAGCCTATGTGTTCATCCAGACTATGTATATCTATTCCAAATTGTAATCCGTTCAGATCTGGAGATACTTTCGAACATCCATCCATCCATCTAAACATTCGCATTTATAATTTACTATTTTATTGTATATATAGCTAGGTTTGGAACAAGTTTCTTTGTTCGCTTAATAACAATGAGGAAGTGATTTAATTGTTTATATATTGATCTTATTTATAACCTATAGTCGCATATTATGTATTACGATCACTTTGTCCGATTCTGTATTTAATGGCCACTTATCTCCTCTTTATACACAGCTATTAATTTCATCTGTTTCGATTTTATGGACGGGGGAGTGGTTAATATGCATTCCCCTTCAATAAATTCGCATTCCAAATTGCATTTATAAAGGATATTGGTTTATACATCGTCGTATATAAAACATAGGATTGTAATAGAATTTAAAAATACTTGGAAGTTATCCCTTTGTATGTGTTTCTCATTGTTATGTGTTATTTACGTTAATTATCTGTAGAATGATATCAATCTTTCTTAGTTTAACTGCATTTGATATGCTTTGAATGTATTTCCTTATTATAGAAATAAACTGTAATATAGTAGAATTTTTTTCACTGTAAACAAAATAGACAATATCCAATAGAATGTAATATGGTATTGTCTTTTACATTGTTTTAAATTCGAATATTTATAATATGTGTGCATATACGAGTAACTAATTACGATGACGTAGCGATCCGAAGTGGGCATTGTCCTCCGACAAGTCTCCACTTTCTCCGATCTCGCGCCGTCCCATCCCAGTCCCAAACATGTAGCTCCCGAAGATATGTATATAACTTAATTAATTTTGATTGTATGTTATTGTTATAGCAACGAAAGACGAGTCGGAGTGCGAAAGCGGTGAGGGTGGTTGCCGCGGCCGGCAGCAGAACGGCGGCGCGCGAGGCAAGCTGCCCTACAACGGCTACTCCGAGGAGTGCCTCGACCGCCTAGAGCCTAACGGCAATATACCCCACGATAAGGATTCACATTATGGTCAGTATGTCTATCTCTTTCTTATATATCAAACATGATAAAAGCAAATGTGATTACTATATGGCCTGTACAACTCTTGTCTCTATGATATAATACTGCGTCTTTGTTTTTCATTTGTTGCATATGTACTTTTCTCGGACTTACTCTCTTCAGAGTGAATACTCGTAAGACTAGATGTAAATTCAATGGGTTTTTTAAATAGCAAAATATATTCTGAGAGTTTTTCTCTTTCCATTTGTTCATTCTGTCTGCACTTTCTAGCATCTCAATTCACTTCCATAAAGCTGTTACGGACAAAAATCTACTTTATAAGAAATTTAACTTTTAAGCATTTATCCAATAGAAATGATTTTATCCAATCTTAGCTACGTCTACCGTTCTCTAGGGCATTGGGATTCAAAGAGCGGCCATTAAACTGGCCACATTCGCCTCGTTGAATTTATTATTATAGCCTAGGCTAGTCTAGTTGGTCAGTGCTCGACGTGGGATTTAGTTACGAATGATTTAGATTTCATTTAAATCAAATTCAACTATAATTTAGCCAATCTTATTGATGTTGTGCAACGTCAAATTACATGTATTTTATCGTAATAGCTTAAAGCACCAATGTTATTGCAACATTAGGATTTCTCGTGTTTTAGATAAATATTGAGTATTCAAATTTCAAATACCATAACCACAATTGCAAATAACTTTTACATTTGCCTTAACAATTGTAAATAAAAAATAAAAAGCAACATCTCATTTGTTGCGTAAATAGTCTGATTTTATTCGCAAATAAGTAGAAAATTCACAATAGAATCTCTCTAGATTATTAATAAAATATACAAATATTAAATTGTACTCAAATTAATGACCTTTTTGCCTCCATGCGAATGCTAAGGTGTGAATTAAAACAGTGTTGTATAACCAATGAATATGATTTTGTTTCTATACTTATATTTACATCGTACAGCGCAGTCGCGTAGAGTACGTTCATAATTAAGTTATCTGTTCCACTCCAGATATAAACAAACCTACGTTCTACGTTCTTAATTAGTCGTACGCATGAATACCTTGCCCAACAGATGTGTGTGATGGATTTACCGTTCGTGTGTGAAAGGTCTAGTTTATCATCCTGTAATTGTACTGTTTGCTGTAATTTGGTTTTTAATTCACGCGCAATTAAATTCTCGGTCTATTACCTTTAAACTTTCTACAGTGCTGACAATTGGTGTTTTGGTGGGTTTTTTTATTATTTTATATCATCTTTTAAGCCATGTAATGATGTTTATGTTTTTTTATAAAGTTTTCGGCTTTTCCCGTGTTATGTAGTAGAAGAAGGATAATCAAATCAAATATTTGAAGTACAGGGTGTTATAAAAATGTGAAGTTGTTTACTTTTAAATCAAGTTCATGACTGCTTCACTGCCCTTGACAGTAACTTAATTCAGTTACATAACAAAGACTAAAGAGTTTACACTTAAAGCATTATATTGAAAAATATGAATAATTGACTAGTTCTTAGAAATATATAGAACGTAATATGTGATAAAAACATTATTGTATTTACGATCACAACTCTGCCCTTAAAGGGTAGGCAGAAATGATGAAAGTTAAGATATCAAGTCGGGACATGTTTTTTATCGATTTTACGTTTTGTGCTCCTTAGAAAAGTCGGTAAGAAATATAGATGTAAAATTAGCTATTTATGTTGCAATGAAACGTTTCATGTTCTTAGCTTTTCATATAATATTTGCTCGTATTTATGAAAATGTATTGATAATAATATTTATGTATTCATGTGAAGTCATGTTGTGATACATTTATGCGTGGGCCGTAACTGGAACAGCATTCCACGCTCCAATACCATCTAGAAAGGTGCACTCGTGTAACACTGACATTTGTTATAATATTTATTTTTGTATGTCTATAATCAAAGGATTTATTGATTGTTTATTGTATATTTCATTTCTATTGAAGACATATAAAGGGTGTACACGGAAACAAAAAAATTAATACATGGTGGATTACGGAATGTGATTCTTTTAAGTTGTTTTTAGAACTTTTTAGAAGTATATAGATATATAGAAGTTTTAAGATATATGCAAAGTTTATAAGTTTAATAAAATGTCAATGTTATTCTCAATGTAAACCGAGTATCCAACGCCTAAGTATATTGAAGGTTGATAAAATAAACAGCGCACTTTTATAGTTTACATTCAAACTCGTGTTTGATAAATGCATTGGCTGTCCAAATAGCGGCCGATAGAGCGCTTACCATGTGGGGTTAAATCACTTTTCCACTAGGTTCTAGGCTCGACTGCTATTGCTTTGAGCCTCGCCTCTGGAAAGTGTGCCTACATTGCTTTTAGAAATAATAGTCGCTCGCGGCTAACCGCTCAGTGGAAACGGGACCTTATATGCCAGGTCTCAGTTTGACATGTGTAAATATACATCCAGATAAATATTTATGAACCAATCGGGACGCGTGCTCGCCCAATTTCAAACGATCGTTTTTTAGTGCAGTCAATGTTTCTTTGTATTCGATCTTTTTGGTTAGTTTGGAATTTTAAAGTTACTAATGCAGTCGAGATTATTGAATTTTGTATGGCAAAAAACCATAGCTTCAATTTCAAACCGCATAAAAGTCAAATTTCTATAGAAGCTTTAAAAGAGAAAACTTAAATAAATTCTCACTCATTGATTACAATATTGATTGTCAAATTAAATGAGGAAATGACTAATAAATTTATTTCATAATAGTTATATTTCTTTAACATTTGTAATGTTACACATCTTATTTACATTTCCAATGTTTTTACAAACATTTGTGAGTAACTCTTGTAGGTTAGAACGTAAACAAGTTTTGTTTTAGAACCGAAGGGAATCTTGAACGCTGAATAAATAAACAAGCAATATTGGGTCGTATTTATCTTTAGTTGGACAGCGCTTTACATACGGACCAGCCTTAGGGAGCACTCTTTTCTACTATTTACGGGGCTCTATGCTCCTCACGTGTATTTAATGTTTTCCTAAACTACTAAACTACATATAAACTTATACATAAGTGATGTGACGGTAACCGAGTTAGGAGCGTAGTAGGATAGAGATGTACTTTATAAAGGTTTTGAGAAAATATTGGGTTGCTTTGACAAATTTCATTTGATCTTTACATTAAAGTATTTTACTTTGCCGTTTTTTATATCATAAGGCGGCAAACGAGCGAGTGGCCACCTGAAATCGCTGAAATAGCGAAGTGACCGTTGCCTATAGACATACGCAACTCCATATGCGTTGCCTACCTTTAATCGACAGAGGAGCGGATGCACAGAAAGAAAATATTTTCCCTTCCCATGCATCCTCTCATCCGGAAAGTCCACTTCTACTTCCCATCCTTTCCTTATAAGAAAAACGATGGGAAGGGAAAGAGGACTATATTAGGCCTCCGGGACACAAACTCATCAAACGAAACGAATTGCTTCCACTTGACGCCTGTCTTCTGTGTGGTCGTGGTATTTCACCGGGCGAGCCGGGCCAATTCGTTTAAAGATGTTAAACCGGACTCTACCACTGTTGAACCCTTTTTATTCTTTTGTATTTCATCATTATCATTATTCTCTATCTGGATTCGTCTACTGCTGGGCGTACTTAACTCCCTTTTTTGCTGCTGTTGTCCGCGTGGAATTAGAGAAAAATATAATTAGTATCCTATGTGTTCTTCCAGACTATGTTCTACATGTATGCCAAATTGCATCGAGGTCCGTCCAGTCGTTTAGGAGATACCTACTAACAAACATCCATGCATCCAAACATTCGCATTTATAATATTACTAGGATATTAATTTTAAGACGAATTTGACTATTTTCAATCACTGTCAGATTATAGTTTCAAAGTCTTACCTCGTAACCAAAGTTTATATGATGATTAATGCGTGAACCTATCAAATGATTACGTTCAATGTTATGCACGTGTTATACAACAATTTAAAACTATACAATGTATCAGTAGATTACAAAGCGTGATGTAATAATGCACTTATTGTAACTGACTTATAGAACACGCTGTAGCAAGTCTTCCGTGAAGATCGTTGTTATCATATGTAACTCTGAGTTAGAATTATTACTTTTTTTAATATTAGCAGATTTTTTTGTAAGTTTACTTATATTTCTTTTGGCATTCCAACTAAGCTCTAGGCTTGTGCTAAGATATGGTTTACGACAATAGTCGAATGGCGGAATTCGAATCCCCGACCTCGTGATCGGAAATCCGTACCCTTAACCATTAGGCTATTGACGCTTTATCACCTGTGCAATAAAATATGGTTGATTTTTAAAGGGAATGAAAGAGATGACTATATGTTTTGTAAAAGTGATTTTACACCTGATTTACTTCATCAACAAAACCTTTAAATAAATAATTACCATCGACAAAGAAATGAGTAGATGTAATTCCGTCTTTTTCAATTTGATAAACTCATCAATATATTTTGTACTCTAAGTTATTGAGTTTTTTCCTATTTTGAACGTTGCCGATAAAAGCCCGTTTGATAAATAAACTATGACGTGCCCTTTTAACAATTTATTGATTGGTCTGCGGCGTAAAATTCAGCTCGTGAAAATATAATAGGCGGTCCGTTACTCGTTCGAGATAAATTTTATGAGATGGCGTCAATGGGAAATTTTGTTATAGCCTACAGTTCAGAGTTAGTTCGCGTATTTAAACAAATATAGTAATCTGTAATTGTCTAGATAAAAGATTATAAACAAAGGTTTTTACCAACAAAATGTCAACAATGAATAGGCGTTTCTTGTGGTATAAAGTTTCCAAATTTTAAATTGTTAAATTTCTACACGTTTAAACTAAAATAAAGTCGACCTTATGTTCTGTTTAATTCGATAAAGTTTTACTTATATATAATGCCAGTGAGGTTAAAAATATTTAAATGTTAATTTGCTGTAAGCCGACAGAAACCACTAAATGCTGTATGAAAAGCTTTTTCTGTCCATTTTAATTACGCGCACGTCAGTGTTGGCGAGCGAGGTGGGGCATTAACATGGGTTAAAAGGCTCAATAAAAATATACGTTGAGGGTTATGAAAATGACATGTACGATTATAAAAAAGCTTAAGGCTTTTTGGGGTAATTTTTTTTTCCATTTCAGTATATTTTTCTTAATTTTTTTTGCATGAAAATTGGGAATGGTATGTATTATAGTGAAAAACTTGATAATCAGTCATTCCTTTATCCAGACCAGATAATTAAAAAAATGAGCTATAGATAATAGAAGCCGGTCAATCAAAACTGATATTAAAAGAAAATTGGCTATAATGAAACTTAAGGAATATTTTTGTTTGCAAAATATCGCAGAACAACGTAAAATCTCTATCCTGTGCATTTAAATTATACACTTAAAACGTTTTAAGTGGCAATGTGTTTGAGAGGCGTCTGTGCAGAGTTTGGAATTATTCAACGGACGCCGAGAGAAGGCAACTACGACGAGCACTAAACTAATTATTTCACAAAGCTACGAATTTTAACATGATGTTTGTTTTCCAGCTATGAGATCGGTTAACGAGCTTTGCAACGTTGATCTCGTTAATAAAGCCATCTACACACGATCTTGTCTGATTCGTGTGAACATTATCTAAAGCTGTTTAGGTTAAAAAAATGTGACATCAATTAAATTATGCGGCTATATTGTCTATTGTATTTGATATTTACTCATACTAATATATTATCAGTTTCATGATTTCAGTTTTGTTCATGCTAGCTTATGAATAGGAGTATTTAAGTTATATTATACTGTGTTGTTTCTTGCGATATAATTTTTTACAAAGTAATTTTTACATGATTATCCCAGCTATGCCGGCCGGGGCAGCGGGGTTAGCCGCGCCCGGCTCGCCCCGTGACCTACTTGCAGTGGCTACACGCCTCCACGCGAACCTGCCATATTCAATTTGTTTCCGCCTAATAAATTAAAGATGTCACCTCATGTTTTGGAGCATATTTCGGTAGTCATGTTTAACATTTCCTGAAATCCCTACAAAAAATATCGTCATCTCTTTCATTGTCTTTAGAAAAACTGAAACAGAAAACAATATTTTTATTGTTGTTTTGATAGTGGTAAAGATAATCCACTGTAGGTGCCGATATCCAATTTGTTGTATATCTAAATGTCTTGTCTATGTCTTAAAGTTTCATATCTTCTTTTAAATCTATTTGTACGTAGGATTCGCCTCATAAAACGTAACTAGATATAAAATTAGTCCATGTTTCGGTACTGCGTTATAATTTATTTAAATTTAAGTTGATATTCATGTAATGGTTTTCAAAGTTCGTGTATGCACGCCTAAGTTACGCTTTCGTTAGAGACGACGCTTTGAGAAAAACATTTCTTTTGAACGCGACGTCGTTTGGCTGCTTCCCTTTCTTTTGTATTAATTTGCTCGAAGGTCGTTTGCGGGAAATTATGGTGGGATTTTCGGCGCCTTTTTGTAAAAGATTCTGTTCTTTAATGTTTTATTGTTTCTGATTTGTATTTAACTTTGATATTTATAATACAATTCGTTTCAATCAACATTTTTTTTAAATTATTTCAAAAGAATTCAGATTCGGGTGAGAACAAAGCAAAGAGAGTGGCTATTTTATTGTTGGAAAATTTCTTATATGTAAGCAAACTTCAATTGCCATAACATCCAAAACTGAGGAATAACTGCCACTATTAAGAAATTTATAATAGTCAAATAATCAGGCCCTTAGTATAGATGTCTTATACAAAATCAATGGTTCACGTCTTCTTTTACAGACTTATAGCTAACTTTTATGATATTGAAATGTGAGGTGTCATCCCATTCCTGCTTGTCCTGTGTAATGAATATTATATATTTGAACTTTTTAAATAATGATACGTTTATTGTCGTAGAGTGGAGCGGCGGCGGTAACGGGGAGTACCGGGTGCGTCGTCAGTTATCCGTGTCGTCGGACTCCAAGCTGTTAGACGAGGGGGCGCGGGAGGAGGCGCGGGTCGTGATGCGGCCCAAACGCCCGCCCAGGCCCAAATCCGAGGCCTTTCTTGGCCCACATGAACACAATAGACGCACCAAGCGGTTTAGTGCCTTTGGGGTGAGTAACAAACGAGTTATAAGGTGTCTCATATTCTTGAGTTTATCTCACTAATATTATAAATGCGAATGTTTGGATGGGTGCATGACTGTACGGTGTGGTTTGACTGTACAGATCTCGCTGAAATTTCGCATAGAGGTAGAGCATATTTTGGAAGAACATATAGGCTATTAATTAAACCGCGCAGACGGAGTCGCAGGCGACAACTAGTACCTAGATAAAGATGTTTGACCTTTTTTATAATTTTTTAATTTCAGTTTTATGAGTGACCGTAAGATAGTGAATTGAGACATAGCGAATAAGTGATGTTAGACAATACTTATAATGAGTTATATTATCTTTTCTGTCTATAAGTGCTATTTATAAATTGTCATTATAGCAATGGTAAGAGTAATATGTTTTTACTTTATAATCTGTATTTCATCATCATCATACATCAGCTCACTATACGTCCCCACTGAGGGGCTCGGAGCCTACCCTAAGTTAAGGGTGACCATAAGGGGGGCCATAGTCAACCACGCTGGCCCAGTGCGGGTTGGTTGACTTCACACATATCTTTGAATTTCTTCTCAGATATGTGCAGGTTGCATCACGATGTTTTCCTTCACCTTAAGAACGTCGGGTAAATGTACATATGTAAATCGGATATCGAAAAACACATTGGAATCTGTATTTAAGAGCTAAGAATTATTATGATCATTTATTCCAACGATTATGGCCGATTACTTTCCTGTATTCGAGAAATTTCCCTCTTCCGACGTTTAATTTATTAAAAATAATTAAGTCGTAATGGCTACCGCTTTCGTTTCAAGTTTGCTCTATGATTTTCTTTTGTCATCTTTCGACTTTAACTGCATCGCTTGCGGATCTTTTTTAATCAAATTGATGCGGCGCCGGTCTCTAGGGGCCTCGGTAGCTTCGGCTTTGAGGTTTAAACGATTATTGAAATTAAACGACGTCATTTTGTTTCCTTTTTATTGAAAAAAATATAAAAGAATTACATTTAAAATAGCTAACTTTACGATTTTTAGCTAAATTACGATCTGTATTTATTAAAAAAAATATGGAACTCATTTAAGCATTTTAATTTTAATTAGATCAATAAATAAGTAAAAATGATCTTAATTTTTACTATTAGTTTTAATCTTATTAATAATAGTATATAATTTTACAAACAACATTTACATATTAGCCTAAAATTACTGCGGAAACTAAACTGAATTGGCAAAGAGACATCGTCTCAAGTGCTATTTTAGCCTCTCATTCCCCGTACTAAATACGATTAACATACAAGTTGCAATGTGAAGATCCGCTCAACAAGCATACTCTTGTTCTTAAGAACATTTGTAATAACTTTCTCTGGAACAGACAGAATTATCGTATGACGGCAGTATAAGCCGTTTAAACGACACAGTGTGACACCAAGGAGTAATTTATATCGGTTTCCGCGTTGCAACTTTCCGTATATTGTAACTACACTGCTGTGAAATTTGTGTTATCTCTTTCAATCTCTTTGACAATGTAGAGACAGCTATATATGTCGATTGTCAAATTCAATGTTATTGTAATTTTTAATTCACTAATAAGTAACTAATTTTCTGCTTAATTCGTTTTGTATTTTATTTGTCAAGCCAACTATTTAAAAAGTTAAATACCCAGTTATTTACGACAGAGCAACTGAAAACGATAGTTGTTTTTATATCTTATTGTTTAGTTACGTTGATGTACTTTTTTTGTTATTAAAATAAAACACTGTTATTACTATAAATATGTAATAATATTATCGATGTTTATATATTAGCTCAGACTACCTGTGTATTGTATCAACAATTAATCACGTGTGCAAATGTAGTAGAAATCCTGTGAGACGTCTCTGAACGCCTGGTACCTCCACAGAGCGAAGAGCATTAGACAAGACAAATATTTACACGTCCGCGACTGCGAGAAGAAAGCAAAACTGTGTACTAGGAGCCCATAAGTGGTGATACTTGACTAGAGTAATCGTTATAAACAACCGCAACGTTAGTTGTCTGTTTCTTTTCTTTGTAGCGGACAATGTTTGCTTTTCTTTGTTTGAATTTAACGTGCTTCTGCAATCTACAAAATAACCCTTTTTTATCGTTACGTTTAATTAACTTTAATTGTAGTTAAATCTGTGTAATTTGGCGTTAATAAGTGGATTTCACTTTATCGCTTGAACTCAATTATGTTTGTATTCGTGTTGTTAATTATTGGGTTTATTGGTTAATAATTGTTTTTTTTTGGTATTACTAGAATATATGCAACTAGCTGTCGCCCGCGGCACCGTCTGCACTTAATTAAAATAATTAATAATAGCACATGTGTTCTGCCAAACACAACATCCATCCATCGAAACGTTCGCATTTATAATATTAGTAAGACATTTATTTTTAGTAGTAATGATACCGATTCGTGCATCAGAGCATTTTATTACAACCCAAAACCATAACCGTAAGAAGATTATCAGAAATGTGTCAATGCAATACTTTAGATATGTAATACCGTTAACTACAACCAGCCCTCTATAGTAATGCATAAATCAATAATATCAATTTAGCTAAAACGCCTCTAGTAGCGTCTAAGTGCTAGCCATCATAAATTAAGATTAGCGAAGCGTGGCTTTACACTTCTGGCCATGATAAATGGTACGATTTCTTTGTCAACAGGGTGATTCTCCGTTCGGGAAATCCGAAGCGTATATGAAATTGGAGCAGCTCGGTGAGGGTTCCTACGCAACTGTCTACAAGGGTTATAGCAAGTATGTTCCATTTTTTTGCATATATTTCTTTTTAATTTAGTTTATTCGCTCATTTACCATCTATGGTTTCAACCGCCAAAGAAATATGCACGTTATTATAATGTAAAAAAAATCTAGTCGTAAAATTATATGTTTGGTACAATGTCAGTGAAAATAATTCGGTAAATATTAAAAATCTAACCACGTTAAAAAAATGAAGACATAAAAAGACGTAAAAGACATCGTAAACGGTCAGTTCCATTGAATTTATTAATCCAAATACAAAGAGACGTCTAGAAGCGTGCAGGAGAGTATACAATGCAGGCAACACACGTTAGCACGACGGTTTTGACCTTGAAAGTATAACCGAGTTTATAGTATACGTAACTAAAGTTTTGCATGTACGTTATACTAAGGTCGAAATCGTCATCCAAAACCTAACGTGTTTTACCTGCATAAGACACGATAAATAAAACATTTTAAAAACATAATAAAAAAGAATACGTCACAGCTCAGTCGAGTTGCTACAAGCTTAATTATACTGCTGATTAACGAACCGTGCAGTAATGTACCGCTGCTCTATGACGCTCTATAATTCTCCTTTTTTATTTGATAAGGTCAGTGAATTTATAAAAATAGTATCTAGTAATTTTTTTACGTAGAAAAATGTATTATAAAATTGTTTATACTTTGATATTCGTAGACCCTACGAAAATGTAAGTTCAAATATTTGATGACCAAAAAAGAACAAACCCGGTACAACCTCAATTCATCTTACGGTTACAAAGGGCCTGCTAATTTTACTACCATATTGATGAGCTTTGATTAGACGACAGTAATATCAATGTATTAAGATTTTCCTGTACGTCAAAGATTTGCTTTAATAGTCGCGGGCAGCTTTTACGATTGTAAGCTCTTGAGGTCTCTAGATGCATCGGTAGCGCTTTGCACGATCGCTTAGCCCTCCTTTCACAACAAACATTTTGCAATAGCTCGCTATGCAAAACTCATGTCTACGTGCTCGCGATCTGTGTTCCGTGCCAAAGTAAATCTGATTCTACGCGTGCTTCACGCTTAAAAGCTTTTTCAATTACATTTCTCAAACACTTTTAATGTAAGTTTTAAAGATACAACTTGTATTTTGTTGTCTATGCATGATTATTATTGTCGCTTGAGCTTTTAAAACAAACTTTTTTTAAAGAGAGCATATTATTAAAAAAACACAACGGCTTTTTATAAATCAACAAATGGTCTTAAAAACATATTATAGTCTTCCATCTTCTTTTAATCATATTACAATTGTAGTCGTTAATTTAAAAATAACTTTTAGTATTTGAAATAATTTACGATGGTTTCAAAAACGCGGGGGTGTCGTGAATACACGTTTCTAAGAATAACTCACATCTATTCAAGTCAAAGGCGAATTTAACATGCTGTCATTCGCCACAAAGCCGCAACACAAACTTCAACAGGGCTATGAATACGGGAATTTGGTTAGTAGAACGGCCTCATTAACACTCAGAAGGCAATTCCCGGCTCGGGCTATGAATTCTCTAAATTCTATTATCTCGCTCCCCTTTCCTTTACACTCACCAAGTTAGATGTCAAGCGCTTCCCATGTTAGGTTAAACACGAACTCCGTTGAGTAAATCCGTAGTATGAAAACCATTTTATTTTGTTGAAGTATATAAATTACTTTACAAAATAACCTTCATTTATGTCGAACAAAATTCCACAGTAATCGCTTATAAATACTTATAATTGAGTGATTAAGGCTTTAGCAACTTAATGCGATTAAAAGAAAGTTAGTGAACCATTCGCGCCGAACCTTTACGGGCTACGGTTAAGAGCTGTAATCATAGTGTCGGTGTGAAATGTTTATTAATTACTCGATTTAAGTTAAATCACTTTAGTTTTAATACGAAATCGATAACTATTTACACAGACAAATATAGTTATATTAAATCGAAAGGATCAAGGATATGCTGTAACTGTTAGCATTCTATACTATGCAATAGACAGGTTGTATACTCTGTCGTTGTAATTTTAACAGATTGATGATCGTATTGATCTTATGATCGGGATGAAAGAAAAACTCTGTTAAATATAAAAATTACTTTAATTAAAATATCGGAGAACAAATTATAAAATGATAAGACATATCTTTAAATGAGCAATTCCACATATATATATATATAGATATATCATCATTCATTCATATCACAGAATCATTTTTAGAAAATGTCATTTTATTCGTATTTTATCGATAATCAACTTAAACATAAACTTGACTTTTTCTATCGGTAAGATTGAAAAATATTATTCATATTTTTCATAATTTTATTAGTAATTCGTACTTAAATATAGTTTCCAAAAACACAATTAAAAAAAATACCATCTAGGTACTATAGATTATAAGGTCTACATCAGAAAAGGAAGAGACAGATCGGAAACGACACAGAGAATATTGAGCAGTTTTGACGTTTATAATTAACTAGCTGTCGAACGTTCACAGCAAGACAATATCAAGATTAACTTGAGTTTATGTTTCCAGTTTAACGCAACAGGTTGTCGCGCTAAAGGAGATAAGACTGCAGGAAGATGAAGGTGCGCCCTTCACAGCCATACGCGAAGCCTCTCTCCTGAAAGAACTGAAGCACGCAAATATAGTCACCTTGCACGATATTGTGCACACCAGAGAAACACTCACATTTGTCTTCGAGTTTGTGGTGAGTTTACATCTGATGGTAGTGGTACACGAATCAATTTAAAAAGGAATAAAGAAATTATCAGTGTGGTTAGCAGGAATATTTGTGCCATATTGGGCGTAAAGTAACCTCAATATCTCTAACTAACTTTGACTTAATTGTCGATGACCTTGACGATGACCATGACAATGTCGTCTCTCGTCCAACAGCATCATATTTTTTCCTTAAATTTTTGTTTTTGATAATTTGTTTATCGACTAACAACCTTTAGAAAAACTGAACCTTATCGTAGACTACATTAGATTGTTTTTTTGAAGGACACGGATTTATCTCAGTACATGGAGAGGCACCCCGGCGGCCTCAATCACCACAACGTCAAGCTGTTTATGTTTCAACTACTAAGAGGTCTCTCCTATTGCCATAGAAGACGAATTCTACACAGGTACAGTTCCATTCAAAGTTTAAGGTGGCTCGCAATTTTGCATGCGACTCTGCGATCTTCATAATTTTAGATACTTGGGAGATGTAAAGAGATGCAATGGTCGCCTGTAGGCGCCTTTTATTCCACCCGTAATGGGCCTTTTTATAATCACTTCTAAAACCCTTTGTTTTATTAAAGTTAATACACACTAATTATATTTCAATCATGTTGATTACATTTTACAAATATGTGTTAGGTTATTTTTTTTTTTTGTTTATTTTATTTCTTTTTGCCAACAGGGACGTCAAACCACAGAACCTCTTAATAAGCTCTCACGGCGAACTGAAGCTCGCTGACTTTGGTCTGGCGCGCGCCAAGTCCGTGCCCAGCCATACATACTCACACGAAGTTGTTACGCTTTGGTACCGACCGCCAGGTAATATCACAGCTAATTTCGTTTTAGAGTTGTCATTTAGGGGATTGTTTAAGTAATTATTAAATTGCTAACCAATTTCTAACTGAAGTCTTCATAGTCGGATAATTCAAAGTCAGATAAAAAACTATCAGTTGAACGCCTGTCGATAATAATTAGCAAATATTTAATCCTAAAAATTTGCTTAATATGATCAACATATATCATTATACTTATTTTATGCGCCTTAAATTAAAATCTTAAAATACTTGTATAATATAAAAGTTGATTATTTTTCTGAGTTGTGTCGGAGCGATCCGTAGACAGTAAATAATCTTGCCCGGGGCGATCATCGATAACTAACGTCTACAAGTCGATGTGACGCTTTAGAGCGATCGTTTCGAAGAAAAATCGTTCGTCTTTTAAACGTTTCTAAATAAAAATATCTTACTTTTTCATTTAAACTCAGAAACATTGTAAAACTCAAACAAAAATCTTAGCTATACAAACTCAAAGGTATACTTTAAGTAACATATTGAATCAATTATATTTTGACATAAATAACTTAGTTCATTATTTTATTGTTCAATTTGTATTCAATATAACAATCAATGGATGTGTGTGCAGATGTCTTGCTGGGCAGCACTGAATACTCCACATCTCTGGACATGTGGGGTGTGGGCTGCATCTTTGTGGAGATGCTGTGCGGCGTGCCCACCTTCCCCGGCGTCAGGGACACGCACGATCAACTTGAAAAAATATTCAAGGTATGTCAACTCTGGCTATTTTTGTACCAAATACTGTCAGTCAGGAAGGGAGACCTTTAATATACATTTACCGTGGGTTTCTAAGATAAAATTTTCTGTATAAAACATATTGTCATCTCTGTTTAGTCAAAGATAATAACAGGGATGGCGATATGTTGTATACAGAGATGGTCTCAGACCCCAACAATAAGTATGCTAAATCTACTGTAGATTTAAGGATTACCTAAGTACGAGTATATCTATTGGTTTCTGAGATGAAAATCTCACTGTCATCGCTGTCATTATCTTTGATAAAATCAGAGATAAGAATATGTTTGAAATAAGTTAGGTAATGTTGAATGTGGTGTGGGTGCAGGTGGTGGGCACGCCGACGGAGGAGAGCTGGCCGGGCGTGTCGCGGCTGCCGGGACTGCGCGAGCACGTGTCGCGGTGGGGCACGTGCGGGGCGCGCGCGCTGGGCGCCGCCTGGCCGCGACTGCGCGAGGCGGGCCGCGACGCCGAGCGCCTCGCCGCCGCGCTGCTGCAGCCCGAGCCGCAGCGACGTCTGCCCGCGCACAGGGCCACGCACCACGCATACTTCGCCGCGCTCCCGCACAGGCTGAGAGACCTGCCCGATGGTCAGTTCTCCCTACACTTACCATCTTTTAACATATCAAAGGATACCTGTACCCTGAGATTAATAAATAAACTTAGTTAGTAGCATATTCTACATCTATGCTAAATTTCAGCAAGATTCATTCAGCTGTTTCGGATACCTTCTAGCAAACATCCATCCATCCAAACATTCCCATTTATAATATTAGTAGATAAAGATCAACTCCAATTTATCCATTCGATATGTAACAATATATGTGTTGTTGCAGAGGTGTCGATCTTCACAGTGGAGGGCGTGTGCCTGCACCCGGAGACACGGCACGTGGCCATCAAGTGAGACTACGACGTCGCTATTTAGTTGAATCTGTTACTCTTGTTCCTTTGTACGTACACGGCGCCGCGCGCTCACATCTGACGCGCTCGCAGCAACAGAAATACACGAGTGCACGTGTACCGACTAGAGTGCACGTGTACCGACTAGAGTGCACGTGTACCGACTAGAGTGCACGTGTACAGACGCGAGTGTGCGCTCGGCGCGGACCTTATTAGTTAGTACGTTTTAATTCCTATAGTTTTAATGGGGACAGTCGAAAACCGGTTGGTACGTTTCGGTGGACCAAATTTCGTGATAGTACCATCGTCTAGTTTAAATGTACGGGCATCGAATGCCTCTCGGTCTTCAGTTGAACGTCATTCAGTTTGTCCATCCGTCGACTGCTTTCGACTTTAATATTATATTAGCGCTTGTTAAGCTTCTAACGTAATATCCATCCATATAAATCAATTATTCTATGGTGACAAGGTAAACTGATAGGTGTGTACGATTTTTATGTATTTAAATATATATATGAACAGAGCAGTGTGCCATGTATGTCTATTTGTAACTGATTGAAGAGAACGATGAGTTATTTTAAAATATTTTTATGCTGGATAATATGGCTCATAATTTAACAAAAAAAAAACTTTATTTATATTAAAATTTTAAACACTCTGTGAAGGTAATTCTAATACGAGATTTTGTCACCGCGCTTCGATCCTTACGTAGTTACACAGCCAGGCTATTTGCAGACAAAATGTGGCAACTTTCTCGTAGGAAATTGAAAATTTTTCATATCTAAATCTTATGCACACATTCCTTCCATGGTGCTCAAAAAAAAATTATTAATTGCATATTTTTTTAAACATTTCTCAATAATTGTAATGCACAGCTTGCATTGACTCACCAGTATTGCAGTTTTGTTTGTTTAAGTTTTGAAAGCGACCGATGGATCGCTACCAGTGATAGGATGCGAATTGATACGTCTTATCCAAAATAAAATAAGATCTCAAATCGATTAAGTGTGGGACCGTCCTACTGTATTATACTTGATTAGGAAATTCGATGAATTTTAAGTAAACTTAAATTAATCTGATTCTACAAATAAGGTCAGATAGATGTTAATCTGATTCTGTCAGATTTAATCAGCCTTAAGTGTTGACTTTTCATATCTACATTTAAGGGCTCCTTTGGTGTCTAATTAACAACTCTGAGTCATAACCGGTACTGTTGCATCTAAAGTTAACTTCTATCTGACTTTTTTTGTGAGGTAAAAGGGTAGATTAGGGAAGAGTTAGGTTCCGTCTAGCCTAAAGACTAGTAAATCAGTTTAGTGAAAATTTTAGTGGTCCCTCACGTAAATAAGATTTAGCGACGCAGTGATTAGACCAGCGCATTGCCAACTTGAGAATAATCTCTAGAAGGATTAAAAAGGTCTCTGGTTTATTTAATACTTTTTCTAGTAAAAAAAATAATAATATAATAACATGACAACACCAATTTGTGCCAATAAAATAGTATTTTCTCGATAGTGCTAGAAAATTATAATAAAATATTAATCTAGTTGACCCATGATTGTTAGCTTCAACGAAATGTGCTAGTAATTTTTATTTTAAACATTTAACAATAGACAAATTTAGTTAACAATTTTTTTATCTAGTCTTATCAGAATTGGAGGATGAAAGCACCAATTTTGACAATAAAATGCTTTGAACAGATTTTAAAAAATGTTTAATTACGATATCATTCGACACTGCCATTAAAAAAAACTTATAGTAAATGTATCGAGTTGACAGTGTGCCTGGAAATGATCTAGGAAATGTAGTTCTCCTTAGTGTAGTAGCATATACAGAGCTTTAGATACATTTATATGGAGATGGGGGGCATAGCCGAAGGGGGTAATAAGCCGCAACTTTGTAAACAACAAATAATGAATTGACTTTTGATTTATTAAAATTTTATTTGTGTAACATCGGGTCAAAAAGATAATTTTGTCGTCGTACATACATGAATTAATTAAAATGCATTTGTTTGAATTTTAAATTATTAAAGCTGGTGCATCATTTTGTTTTAAATGTCACAAAATTTAAGGCGCCTCTCACTCCTCTAATTGTAGTTAAATTGTAATTCGGTTCAAAACACCAAATTAGTATGTAAAACATTGTAACCGTGGGTTTACATTGGTCGAATGAGATCCGACATATTGTCGTCTTTCATGGTTTATGTAACTGAGATTGATGATCACGGCAATGAAAACCCACGGTAATTCCGAATCGCAATACTTTAGGTGTATATGATTTGTTGATTATGACATAAGTATAACGAATGGAGAGAAAGAAGTTAATTCACCCGTTGAGTGAGGCACTGAGTTATGTGTATATTGCTAGGTATATACTTTATGTGGAGCATTTATGTACTACGACATACATAGAGATAGACGAAACTTTACTAAGATATAAATACATAGACTGGAAATTGTACACAAACATTATAGTGAAAACCATAATTTTAACGTTGGTTTCTGAGACCGAAATGTCTGTATAAAATATATCGTCATCATTCTCATTATCTTTGACAAAATAGAGATAACAATGTTTTTAAACGGGGATTTTTGGTCTCAGTAACGGTTAGATATATCAAAAGTTATTTGATAATGGTCTTGTCTATGTGTTTATATCTTTGAATACTTGCATTTTTTTGTACAGCAAGAAACTGTATGGAGATTCGTTTTGATGGAAATATGTAAATAGTTATTAATAGTTATCGATTTCTTTTATTTCTTCAGTCGTATACATGTTGCCATTTGTATGCTATCCCGAGTGCTTGAACAACGATTGTCGAGCAGACCAACTGTCAACTGTCAATGTCAACGCGAACGTCAAATGTGACTGTTGACAGCTGTCACTTTGTTGCTATTTAAAGGGAAGTGTACATTGAGATTGTTTTTGTATAATTTTAATGTATCTTATGGTTTTATTAAATTGATTATATAATTTTTTTTTTGTATCACGAAATTGTTCTGCCGCTGCTGATTTTAGTTTTATTTTTATAATCACACAATACGATAAACAATGTGCTTTTTATTCGTTTAAAATAAATGTAAATACGATATTTGAACTGATAATAATAAAAAAAATATTTCATAAATGGATCTTGTGTTTATTTTATCACCACCATAAACTTGGAAAGAAAGAAAATTACCTACAACAACTATCGCATGTTACAAAGTTCACTTTCACTGGTAAGCAATTCAGGTATTCTATTTCAGTTGCAGCTGACTGCAGGCCGTGAATAAGTAATGAAAGTCAATCTGACCGTGACATGATGACACGATGAACTTTTTGACACGGCCGAGGCGAGGCGCGAATCGATAAGAACTGGCAAGCGTTTTAAACTTGTCTGCACTGTCAAAGTTTATAAGTCTTTAGTCGACCGGCAGAAAAGTTTTACTCGAGTATATTGCATAGCCTGATTCATGATAATGAAAAGTTTACTTGGAGTGTTCGATTGAACGATGTTCTGCATATAAAAATTTAAAAACATCGATAAAAACCGCAGAATTTGACGTAACGTTCAATTGATAATTAACACGTCTGCACTTTTCTGCAACTACAATGTTAAATTGATAAGATGTTTGCGGAAAACAATCCTCCTTAAATAAGATATTCGTGCCAGGATTTTTCTTCATAAAGTTTATTTTGATAAAGCTCTTTTTTGCTACGAAAAGCGTTAAAAGTACACTTCACAAAGCTTAGTAAGGTCTTAAAAATTCTTACATGTGTAAAATTGAGGCCGGAAAAAACATTTTAATCTTCTTACCGAGAGTAAGGGCACTCTTAGGGTGAGATTTGAAGTAAATCTGACACAACTTAAAAAGAAATCCTTTTAACAATGATTCAAATGTTTTACTCGTTCTTTATTTAGTACGCTCTTTATTTCTCTCGTTCTTTATTTCACGTTAAACCAAAATGTGAAACCCCCATTTTTCGGTATTCTCGGGTGAATTGGTATTTTGAAAATGCTAGGTAGTTCTGCAATAAAGTGAATCGATTCATCCTAATTTTTAATTTATATTGTTCATGCAACACGTAGTTAACGGAACTGGTGCCACTACTAACATTTTGTGCAGCACAGGTCTTGTTCTGTAAAAAAAAATATTTGTTTTAATGTAGTTGCCGTTGACATAAAACATTCTAACAATTATTGTTTTGAGTTCTCTAGCGTTGATAAGGAATGGAATAATTATTTATGGTATGCAGTTTTTTTTATGCATACTTACATTTTTATTATTTGTAAGTTACTGATTACTATATTATAAATATAGATAGAAGATAAAGATTATATACGGTTACAGTAGGGTGTAGAATGTCAGCACTATAACCGAGCTCAGACGTAAGCACTCAATGCATTAGTCGGTCTAGTTAATTAGGTTTATAGCTCGGCTAGACATGTACCTATTAAATCGCAAGGGAGAGGGGAATCAAAAAGGCGTAAAGTTTTCGTCGATAACCACGAAGTTGTATGCTGTTGTAGGTTATTTTAAAAACATTTGAATGTCACGAGGTTTAAAAACAAACAAATGCTATTCTAAAGATGATATAATTTACGATTTACGTAATATTTTCTTTTTAAATAGAAGAAAAACTTTAAACCAAAGTAGAGATCGTTTTATTAGGGTTTTTATTTCATTACAAATTTTTGATCTTCATTTGAAACAGATTATAAAAAATGTCTGTCAGTAGCTTGTAATGTCATTAGAGTCGCCTACTCTTTGCACGGAGTAGACACGGCAGGCTCGGCAGTTTTATTAATGCCTCGTCATTACCGTCCTCTGAGAGGCTCGCAATTTGTCATTGTACCAAGACGCCAGTTGAATAATCAGCGCTACACCACCCTCCGTTTATGCTGCACGGAAATAATTAAATTGTCTCCCATTTAAAAGCTTCTGCTTTTTATTGTCTCAATAAATACGCTTAGATAGCATTTACAATCATTAAATTACATTATAATATTAACCTTTAAATATAATCAATTTAATGACTTTATATTATTTAAATTCGTATAAGATATTAGTAATCTTACTAATATTATAAATGCCAATGTTTGGATGGATGGATGTTTGAAGGTTGCATGGATCTTACTGCAATTTGGCATAGATGTAGAACACAGACAGGAAGAACACGTAGGCTACTAATTATGTTTTTTTTTAATTCCTTGCGGACGGAGTCGCTTGCGATGGCTAGTCTAGAAAATAAATGTAGACGAAAGTTTGTTTAGTAAATTGTAGCAATGTTAAACGACCTATTCAATTAGACGTATTAATTACTTTGTTTTCGATAGGACAAACAAGTGATATTCGCAATATCAGAATGGGTGTTCAATTTATTGACTTTGTCAAGAGGCGATATGAAGTAGTCTTGTCTCGCTGTGCAAGTTTTAATTGCTGCCAGACTTGCCGGCGTCAGTTCCGAACCATTTGTTTTCTTAGTTTGGAGATATTATACTAACCAATTGTTACGTCACAGTTTTGAGCTTACACAGGCTAGGGAATCAATATTTTTTTATTTATTATTCATAAAAAAATAACAGAGTTAGAAATTTTGTACTATTGAGAAACTTAAATTATCTATTC